ATGAGGGATGGGAATGAGGATGAGGGATGTGGGCTAAGGATGAGGGATGGAGATAAGGATGAGGGAGGGGAATAAGGATGAGGGATGGGCATAAGGATGAGGGATGGGAATGAGGATGAGGGATGTGGGCTAAGGATGAGGGATGGAGATAAGGATGAGGGAGGGGAATAAGGATGAGGGATGGGCATAAGGATGAGGGATGGGAATGAGGATGAGGGATGTGGGCTAAGGATGAGGGATGGAGATAAGGATGAGGGAGGGGAATAAGGATGAGGGATGGGCATAAGGATGAGGGATGGGAATGAGGATGAGGGATGTGGGCTAAGGATGAGGGATGGAGATAAGGATGAGGGAGGGGAATAAGGATGAGGGATGGGCATAAGGATGAGGGATGGGAATGAGGATGAGGGATGTGGGCTAAGGATGAGGGATGGAGATAAGGATGAGGGAGGGGAATAAGGATGAGGGATGGGCATAAGGATGAGGGATGGGAATGAGGATGAGGGATGTGGGCTAAGGATGAGGGATGGAGATAAGGATGAGGGAGGGGAATAAGGATGAGGGATGGGCATAAGGATGAGGGATGGGAATGAGGATGAGGGATGTGGGCTAAGGATGAGGGATGGAGATAAGGATGAGGGAGGGGAATAAGGATGAGGGATGGGCATAAGGATGAGGGATGGGAATGAGGATGAGGGATGTGGGCTAAGGATGAGGGATGGAGATAAGGATGAGGGAGGGGAATAAGGATGAGGGATGGGCATAAGGATGAGGGATGGGAATGAGGATGAGGGATGTGGGCTAAGGATGAGGGATGGAGATAAGGATGAGGGAGGGGAATAAGGATGAGGGATGGGCATAAGGATGAGGGATGGGAATGAGGATGAGGGATGTGGGCTAAGGATGAGGGATGGAGATAAGGATGAGGGAGGGGAATAAGGATGAGGGATGGGCATAAGGATGAGGGATGGGAATGAGGATGAGGGATGTGGGCTAAGGATGAGGGATGGAGATAAGGATGAGGGAGGGGAATAAGGATGAGGGATGGGCATAAGGATGAGGGATGGGAATGAGGATGAGGGATGTGGGCTAAGGATGAGGGATGGAGATAAGGATGAGGGAGGGGAATAAGGATGAGGGATGGGCATAAGGATGAGGGATGGGAATGAGGATGAGGGATGTGGGCTAAGGATGAGGGATGGAGATAAGGATGAGGGAGGGGAATAAGGATGAGGGATGGGCATAAGGATGAGGGATGGGAATGAGGATGAGGGATGTGGGCTAAGGATGAGGGATGGAGATAAGGATGAGGGAGGGGAATAAGGATGAGGGATGGGCATAAGGATGAGGGATGGGAATGAGGATGAGGGATGTGGGCTAAGGATGAGGGATGGAGATAAGGATGAGGGAGGGGAATAAGGATGAGGGATGGGCATAAGGATGAGGGATGGGAATGAGGATGAGGGATGTGGGCTAAGGATGAGGGATGGAGATAAGGATGAGGGAGGGGAATAAGGATGAGGGATGGGCATAAGGATGAGGGATGGGAATGAGGATGAGGGATGTGGGCTAAGGATGAGGGATGGAGATAAGGATGAGGGAGGGGAATAAGGATGAGGGATGGGCATAAGGATGAGGGATGGGAATGAGGATGAGGGATGTGGGCTAAGGATGAGGGATGGAGATAAGGATGAGGGAGGGGAATAAGGATGAGGGATGGGCATAAGGATGAGGGATGGGAATGAGGATGAGGGATGTGGGCTAAGGATGAGGGATGGAGATAAGGATGAGGGAGGGGAATAAGGATGAGGGATGGGCATAAGGATGAGGGATGGGAATGAGGATGAGGGATGTGGGCTAAGGATGAGGGATGGAGATAAGGATGAGGGAGGGGAATAAGGATGAGGGATGGGCATAAGGATGAGGGATGGGAATGAGGATGAGGGATGTGGGCTAAGGATGAGGGATGGAGATAAGGATGAGGGAGGGGAATAAGGATGAGGGATGGGCATAAGGATGAGGGATGGGAATGAGGATGAGGGATGTGGGCTAAGGATGAGGGATGGAGATAAGGATGAGGGAGGGGAATAAGGATGAGGGATGGGCATAAGGATGAGGGATGGGAATGAGGATGAGGGATGTGGGCTAAGGATGAGGGATGGAGATAAGGATGAGGGAGGGGAATAAGGATGAGGGATGGGCATAAGGATGAGGGATGGGAATGAGGATGAGGGATGTGGGCTAAGGATGAGGGATGGAGATAAGGATGAGGGAGGGGAATAAGGATGAGGGATGGGCATAAGGATGAGGGATGGGAATGAGGATGAGGGATGTGGGCTAAGGATGAGGGATGGAGATAAGGATGAGGGAGGGGAATAAGGATGAGGGATGGGCATAAGGATGAGGGATGGGAATGAGGATGAGGGATGTGGGCTAAGGATGAGGGATGGAGATAAGGATGAGGGAGGGGAATAAGGATGAGGGATGGGCATAAGGATGAGGGATGGGAATGAGGATGAGGGATGTGGGCTAAGGATGAGGGATGGAGATAAGGATGAGGGAGGGGAATAAGGATGAGGGATGGGCATAAGGATGAGGGATGGGAATAAGGATGAGGGATGGGAATAAGGATGAGGGATGGGGATAAGGATGAGGGATGGTGATAAGGATGAGGGATGGGGCTTAGGATGAGGGATGAGGCTGAAGCTGGAGGCTAGGCCTGGGGTCTGGGGCTGAGCTGGAGGAAAGGAGCCGGCAGGGCAGAGTGGGCACCTCCCCTCCCCCATCAGGCACCAGAGTCCTGGGGAGCCCGGCAGGTGCTTCCTGACGGGCCTGGGGTGGCCCTACCCTTTGTTCCTGAGAGGGAGACAGGAGGCCCCAGAGCAGGGGCTGCAGCAGGAAGAGCCTGCTGAGAGGGGCTGAGGGGCTGAGGAAGCCTCCGTGTGCTGTGAGCCACCCCCACTAGTCCTGGAGGTCAGGACTCCCGCCCCCGAGGACAGCGCAGGCCGTACCTCCCCCATCACCCACCCGGGGCCCAGAGGCCAGAGCCCGCACCTCAGCCTCATCCCCGACCCTGGCTGTGCCCCTCGCTGCATCTGCAGCCCCACCCTCAGGGGCCCCTCCATCTCTCCAGACCCAGGATCCTGGGA